AGACTTGTGCTAATCCCTTTGCTTTCTGGTGTGGTGCACGCAGGACCCCGTTTGCCTCCTGGCCCATGGGAAAGTACCACGGAGGCTTTGCTGATATCCCTGGGTTACCTCCTCCTGGGGGCCATGGGCTCTTCAGGACAGGGTCCCTTTCTCCTCCTTTGCCCTGATCTGGGCAATGCGAACTGTGAGACACAGAGGATGTAAAACCAAAGTGTGTTGGAAATTCAGCCTTTAGAGCTGGGAGTGTCTCTGGGAGGCTCAGGAGGAGTCAGGGCTAGATGGGGATGGACATGGCTGAGGGGAGACTGGCCCCACTCTGAGGTTATACCACCTGGAGTCTGGAATAAACCTGCTTTCCCAGGAATCTGACTGCCCCAAAAGGCTCCATATGAGAAGAACAACTGGGGAGACTGGGCTTGGCTAATGTCCCTTGGAAACCCAGGCCCTAGTGCTGCAAAGAGCCTGAAGTGGGAATGCAAGGGGGGAAAACCACCAGCTCCAGCGCTATGAGCATCCTCCCCTGCTGACTCTGCAGATTTCCCCCCCGCCCCCAAGCTCCGGCACCATCCAGTGGGAATGTTCCAATGGGGCCGGAGCCTCCCTTATGTCCTTGCTCTCCCTGCCACAGCCAGCCAGCTCCCCCGTGCTGTGCGGATGGAGGCAGAGCTTGGATGCTGCAGCTCCTTCCATGGCTTTCCCCCTCCCTGCTCCCAGGAAGGGCATTACTGGGGGGTCCATGGCTGTAGTGAGGTGACCGCGGTGACACCTTCCCTTTCCTATCTTGGGCTGGGGGATACAGCGAGGAGCCTGAATCCATCTGCTCACGCACCTGGTACCCGACTCCAAAAGCCTTTTTCTTGGCCCTGTCTCCCTTTTCTCCAAGACCAGAGCACTTCAGCACAAACCCACCCATATTTGCTTTGCTCCTGACTCTTTTTCCTGTAAAAATACTTGTCTTATCTCCCGACTTTCCCTTCTGTGAGTGGGCCACCATAAATTCCTGCAGACAGACGGCTTTGGAAGCACTTCCAGGGCTCTTTGCTGTGGATTTCCCTCCTCCTTTGGCTGTTCTTAATAAATAGTGCCCAGACCATAACAGAAGAAAGAGGAGGAATGTGCCTTGGATTTTTGAGAGAGGCAGCAAAGGAGTTTCCCATGGGAATGCCAATCTGTAAAGCTGTGGTTTGCCACATCTCCAAAGTACTTCTTATTCTTCTTTCCCCCTTTTCTTT